ATTTCTTTCCCTTCTTCCTTCCTTCCCTCTTTCTCTTTCCTTCCCTCTTTCCCTCCTGCTTCCCCCTTTCTCTTTATTTCTTTCTCTTCTTCCTCCCTTCCATTCATCTTTCTCTTTTGCTTATTCCGTCCCATCTTTCCCTCATCCCTTGCTATCCTATTTGACTTTCCTACCATTCCCTCTTTCCTTTACATTCTAATCCTTCCTTTGATTCTTTCCTTCTTTGCTCTTTTGATTCCTCCTTTCATCCTTCATTCCATTTCTTCTGTCTTTTTTCCCTTCCTTCCTCTCTCCTCCCTCCCTTTCTTTCTCTCACTCTCTTTCCCTTCTTCCTCCCTTCCATCCTTCCCTTCTTCCCTTTTCCTTCCTTTCTTCCTTCTTTGCTCTTTTGCTTCTTCCTTCCTACCATCCCTTCTTTTACCTGTTTCTTCCTTCCATCCATCCTGATTTCTTTCCATTCCTCCTGCCTTCCTTCTTTCCTGTCTCTCTCTATCATCCCTGCCATACATTTCCATATTTCGGCAGCCGCCGCACACGCTGCGGATGTTTAAAAGAGGAGATGAATGGACCCGCGATGGTCCCCAGTCATAATAGAGACCGATTTAACCCCGTCTTTGTTTTAAAACTGCTACGTCCCTTAATCCCCAGACATTTACAGTCCCATAAAACATGATGGACGTCCCAGTACGGTTTGAGCCGAGGATGATGAGAGAGAAAGAGGGAAAAGAAGGGGGCGGAAATCATATGAAAGCAAACAGCGAGTGGGTGGCAAAAAAGAAATATGAAGTTGGCCTCTGTTCGGAGCAACCGGTCGGTTTGCATTTTTTGGAAAACATTGATTCAGTCATATGGATGTGACAATGATACGGTGCGAATACCCAATTCATTCCTCTTTTTCTGCAACAGTCCCATCAGTATTTAAAGTTGGTCACTATGGGTCATGTCTGGTCCAGATCTATAGTCAATAGTGTTCACAGTGCTCTTCAGATTCAGATGGACTACAACTCCCAACATCAAGAGTCAGTTCTGACAAACTACAGCTCCCATCATCCATTAACATTGCCCCCAAACCCTGTCAGTATTCAAAGTTGGCCATGCTGGGTCTGTGTGCAAAGTTTGGTCCAGATCCATCGTCGGTTGAGTCCACAGTGCTCTCTGGATGTAGGTGAACTATAACTCCCAGCATCCCACAATCAATTATTACCAAGCTCCTCCAGAAGTCAAAGTTGGCCATGTTGGATATGTGTGTCATATTTGATCCGGATCCGTCATTACATAGGTTCAGTGTTTGGTTGCGGGTGAACTATAACTCCCGGTATCCAAGATCAATTCCATCCAAATTCCTCCAATATTCAAAGTTGGTCATGATCGGTCCGTGCGCCAAGTTTGGTCCAGATCCATTGTCGGTGGGTGAACTATAACTCCCAACATCCAAGGTCAATTCCTTCCCAAAATACCACTTCTTTCAGGCCTAGAGAGGAGGGGAAGTAAGAGAAGGAAGCAGATTGGCTGTTGCTAGGTGAAGTGGCCCTCTGTGCTGCTAGTTGTATGTATATGAGAAAGGGAGGATGGAAAGAATGTCAAAAAGGAGGGAAAGATAGGAAAGGAGGAGGAAGGAAAAAGAAGAGAGGAAAGCAAAAGAATGAGAAAAAGGAGGAAAAGAAAGGAAAAGAAAGAGAAAAATGTGGGAAAGGAAAGGAGAAGGGAGCAAAGGATAAGAAAGGAAAAGAAGGGAGGAAGAGAAAGAGAAAATGTGGGAAAGAAAGGAAAGAAGAAAGGAACAGAAGGGAAGAAAAGAAAAGAAAGAGAAGAGGGTGGGAAAGGAAGGAAAGGAGAAGGGAAGGAAGGGGAAGAAAGGGAAGAAAAGAGGAAAAGGTGGGAATGAAAAGGGAGGGAGAGGGAAGAAGGGAATGGAAAAGGGAAGGAAGAAGAAGGAAGAAAAATAAGGGAAGGAAGGAAGAAAGGAAAGGGAGGAGGAAGGAAAAGGGGAAGGAGGAGGAAGAGGGAAGAAAAAAAAGGAGAATAAGGAAGAAGAAAGAAGGGTGAAAGAAAGAAAGAAAGGAAAGGAAAGGAAGCAAGGAAGAAATGTGGGAAGTATGAGGGGAAAGAAGGAAAGAAAGAGAAAGTGAGGGATGGGAAACTAAGAAAGGTGGGAAAGAAAAGGGAGGGAGAGGGAAGAAGGGAAGGAAGAGGAAGGAAGAGGAAGGAAGAAAAATAAGGGAATAAGGGAAAGGGGAGGGAGAGAAAAGGGGAAGGGAGGGAAGAGGAAGAAATAAAAAGGAGGGAAATGAAGGAAAGGAAGGAAGGGGGAAGAAAGAATAAGAAGGAAAGAGAAGAAGAAAAAGGAAAGGTAGAAAGTATGACAGGAAAGAAGGAAAGAAAAAGTGATGGACGGGAAAGAAAGAAAGAAAAAGGAAGGAAGGAAGAGAAAGGAAAGGGTATGAGGATAGGGAAAGAGAAAGAAGGGAATGAGAGGAAGAGGAGAATGAGACAGAAAGAGGGAAGGAAGAAAGGAAGAAGAACAAGGGAAGAGGAAGGCATGAAGACAAAGGAAAGAAGGAAGGAAAGGCAGAGAAAAAAAGACAGGATCTCTCTGGATTTCCAATAGATCTGGGTCCTAAGAGAGCAAGGCAGCATTTGGGCTCAAGGAGATTCTGCCCTGAAATAAACTACAGATGGAAAGGGAAATATTGGATATTGTACAGAGCCGTAAATGCCTTTGTTTAATCAATGGAAGTATCTTCTTTTTTTTATTTGGCAGAGGTTTTCATCGCGTGCCAAATCCCTCTTTTAGTTTGCTGGGTTTTCCCCCTTTCGTTTGCGTCATGTTATGTACGGATCTGCTTTCATCCGCCTCCCCGAAGGATAAATAAAGTCTTTGCTCTATAGACATTATGCAGCACTGTTTTTAGGGAATACATTTCCCCCCGCTTTGAATTAGAATTAGATGCACATTTCATAAAGAAAAGAGTTGCGATGCCCCCTTCTCCAAATCCTCAATAGTTTCCATAATTATATATATATATATATATATATATATATATATATATTCAATATTATATACATATATAGTATTATATACATAAATATCTAACACACATAAATTATAAATATTATATAAATATACAATATTATATACACACACATATATAATATTGTAACCACACACACACATTTTTCTCATTATATAAATACATGTAATATATAGATATATATATCTAATACTACATACATATATATTTAACATATATTCTATATACATACATATATATTTTTATATATTTTATATATATATTATATACACACATAATGTTATACATATATCATATAGTGAAATATACATATATATAGAATATATGTTATATATTTATGTGTGTATATATATATATAGATATGTATATCTAATACATATTATTACATATATATAAAGTATTATACACACATATATAATATATATATACACACACACATACATATGTATATATAGCTTGCGGCAGAAAACCCCTTTTCCAAAGTGCCGTTTTTTTCATTCCATCCATCGCCTTCACCTGAAACTCACACTCATATTGAATTGTGTACATTTTATTTTTCTATTTGCTTTGTATTAAATGGTTGTATTTTAAAGACTGAGTCGGGTGTGTGTATTTCGTTTTAGCTATGGATAGGTCTGGATACCGTCCAATATTTAATGCCATTGTGCATTATGAGGAGGTATCGTTATAGGTTTTGATTGTATTGGTTTTATTGTCAGTCTCTTTTTAGAGAGATAATAATAATAATAATAAGAAGAAGAAGAAGAAGAAGAAGAAGAAGAAGAAGAAGAAAAAGGGGTTGTTATCCGCCTTGAGTTTCTATGGGAATAATAATAATAATAATAATAATAATAATAATAATAATAATAATAATAATAATGTGTGGTTGTTGGCACCTTGAGTCCTGATAGGGAGAAAGGCAAGGTATAAATAGATAATAATAATAATAATAATAATTTATTAACTTAGTGACAACCCGGTCAGGCCCTGAAATATGACCTGGATTATGTGATTTTAATTGTTGTTTCAATGTTACCGGTATGTTTAATTGGTTGGTTTTAATGTTCTTGTTTATTCATCAGCTTATGTGTACATGCAGCATTTAATTCTTGCCTTTGTGAAGCCACCTTGAGTCCCCTTTGGGTTGAGAAAAGCGGGATACAAGTATGGTAAATAAATAAATAAATAAAAATAATGTTAATTATAATAGTAATAGTTTAATAATGATAATGATAATAAAGTTAATAATAGTAATAAAGTTAAATAATCAAGTTAGTAATGGTAATAATTTAATAATAATGATAATAATAATAAAAAGTTAATAGTACTAGTCATTAAGTTAAATAATGATAGCTAATAATACTAATAATTTAATAATAATAAAGTTAAATAATAATAATAACTTAATAAAGTTAGTAATAATATTAATAATTTAATGATGATGTTGATAGTTAATAATATTAGTAATAAAGTTTAATAATACTAATAAAGATAATCATGGTAATAATAATTTAATGATGATGATGATAATGAATAATAATCGTAATAAAGTTAAATAAAGTTACTAATAATAGTAATCGGTAATAATTAATAAGTAATCACACAGTCCTAGACACTTGGGAAGGGTCTGACGTGTGATCCAATACAACAGCCTACATAGTGATCTTGTTTGCTGTGAACTCACCTTGCTGTGTATCTAATAATAATAATAATAATAATAATAATAATAATAATAATAATAATAATAATATATTGTCCATCATCGACGTCCACACTATTTGTCAGGCATTCAATTCTTTATCATTTTGTAAAATTATTTCACCTATTGCCGTTCCTCTTACCCGCCATCAGATAATAGTTTGGAAACGCAAATAAAACAAAATTGCAAATAAAATGCAAATAAGAATAATTTTAAAATTTAAACAATCCAAATAAAAAAATATCCTAATCAACAACATTATTACTCACACATCAGAGAATCCACCCGGAGCAGCCAGAGCCAAAGGAGAAAGAACTTCATCATAGGATGGGGAAGAAGAAGGTAGAAGAGATAGAAATAGCTCTCTTTTTAGAAAGGTAAAAGTGACCTTTCCCTTTTTCAAGAAAGAAGGGAAAAGGCTTTCTAGACCTCCTTTTTCTCCATTTTCTCCTTCTCTTCTTCTTCTTCTTCTTCAGCAGAGAGCCAGATAGGAAGAGGCAACCCAGGGATTTTCCTAAGCAAGTCTGAGCAGTTCGCAGTGACAAGTTCCTTAATCTGCCCGTTACTCCCCGCCCTTCCCCGCCCCTCTGGGCCCTTCTCTCTCTTTCTTTCTTTCGTTCTTTCCTTTTTTTGAGAGAGAAATGAAATTAACAAGCCCTGGCTGGGGAAAAAGCACCACCGCACACATCCACAGCCTCCTTGGCCTCCCTTGGTTCAGGAGAGGCAAGGCTTTGGCAGCTCTCTCTCTCTCTCTCTCTCTTTGGTTTCTTCTTTTCTTCTTTTTTCTTCTGACCTTCTTTCCTGCCTGTTACTCAATCACCAGGCTTGAAAAGATCACTTCTGACTCATGGAGCAAATACCTACAACAACACGCCTCGAGGGGTGGATTTGGCCATCTCAGCCTTCTCTTCCTCCTCCACTTTCTTTTTTCCTTCCTTCCTTCCTTCCTTCCTTCCTTCCTTCCTTCCTTCCTTCCTTCCTTCCTTCCTTCCTTCCCTTCTTCTTTTATTCCTTCCTTCCTTTCTCTTTCTTTCTTTCTTTCCTTCTTTCTCTCCTTCCTTCTTTCTTTCCCTCTTTCTTTCCTTCCTTCAATCAATCTTTCTTTACTTTTTCTTTCTCTCTTTCTCAGCCCTTTTCCTCTCTTCTGTCTATACATATCTTCTTTCCTTGATTATCTCCTCTTTCCCTCCCTCCACCCTCTCTATCCTTTCTTTTTCCCTTCCTTCTTTCTTCGTTCTTCACTTTCCCCCTCTTCTCTCTCTTCCCCCATATTTCTTCCTTGATTCTCATCCTTTTCCCCTTCCTTCCGCCCTTCCTTCCTTCTTTCTCTATTTCAGCCCTTGACTTTTTCTGTCTTCTTTTTTATATATCTTCCTTCCTTGATTCCTTGATTCTCACCTTTCCCCCTCCCTCCCTCTCTTCCTTTTCTTTCTTTCTTTCTTTCTTTCTTTCTTTCTTTCTTTCTTTCTTTCTTCCTTCTCTTCCCTTCCTTTTCCCCTTTTCCTCTCCCTATATTTTTTCTTGATTGTTTCCCTTCCTTCTTCCTTCTTCCTTCCTTCCTTCCTTCCTTCCTTCCTTCCTTCCTTCCTTCCTTCCTTTTCTTTCTCAGTCCTTGTATATCTTCTCTCCCTTTTCTCTTCCCTCCCTCTTCCTTCCCTCTTTCTCTCTTGGTCCTTCAATTTTTCCCCTTCCTATATTTCCTCCTTGGTTCTCTCCCTTTTCCCCATCCTTCCTTCTTTCTCTCTCATCTTTAGTCCTTTACTTTTCCTCTCTTCTCCCCCTCCCCATTATATTTCTTCCTTGATTCTCTTCAAGTTTCCTTCTTTCTCTTCCCTCCTTCCTTCTTGTTATCTCATCCTTTGACCTTTTCTCCCTTCTCCCCCCCTCCCCATATTTTCTTCTATTCTCTTCCTCCTTCAACAGTTCTTTAGTTTCCCATCTCTCTCTCTTTTTTCTTGTTTTTTAAAAATTAGACAGAACTATAGAGTCAGCCTTGCGCCGGTATGCATTCTGTTTGTGGCTCGTTCTTCCCTTCCTTCAGTTCCCATATATACCTTCCCTCTTTCCTTCCTTTCTTCCTTAATTTGCCTTCTTCCTCTTTCTTTTCTTCCTTCCTTCCTTCATTACCTTGCTTTCCCTCATACACTTTCTCTTGCTCTTCTTTTTTTTTTTGCTTTCCAGACATCTTCCTTCCATCCCTTGCTTTCCCCCATGCACCTTCTCCCTCACTTTCCCACATGCCTTCTTCCTCTCTTTTTTCTTTCTTCCCTTACTTTCTCTTATACACCTTCTCCCTCTCTCTTTCCTTCCTTCCTTTCTCCTTTCTTCCTCCTTTCCTTCCTCCTTCTCCCTTCCTTTCCTTCCTTCCTTCCTTCCTTCCTTCCTTCCTTCCTTCCTTCCCTCCCTCCTCCCCCCTCCCTCCCTCCCTCCCTCCCTCCCTTGTTCCTTTCTTCCTTTCTCTCTCTCTACCTTTCTTCCTCTCTTTCTTTCTTTTTCTTTCTTTCTTTCTTTTTTCTTTCTTTCTTTCTTTCTTTCTTTCTTTCTTTCCTCATTCTTTCTTCCTTTCCTTTTCTTCTTTCTTCTTCCTTCTTCCTTCCTTCCCTTTCTTTCCCTTCTCTCCCTCTCTTTTTCCCTTCCCTTCCCTTCCTTCCTTCCTTCCTTCCTTCCTTCCTTCCTTCCTTCCTCTCCTTGTTTTTCCATCTTTTCCATTCCCTCCTTTCTCCTGCAACGGAGCTCTTAGGAGAAAGGAGGGAAGGACCTCTATTCCAGTTTTTGCAAACTGCTTGGAGGAAGGAAGGAGAGAATAGTGGAGTTAAACTGTCTTAAGGCCTTTTGATAAGGGAGAGAAGGAGGGACAATCAGACCCGAATAAGGGTGCAAATATTATGTGAGGAAAACAAGAATACCACTTTTGGCTTGTAAACTGCTTGGAGGAAGGAGGAAGGAGAGAAGAGTGGAGCTTCAAAGATCTCTGTTTTGTAGTTTTTAAACTGTCATAAGGTCTTTGGATAAGCGAGGGAAGGATAATCAGCCCCGAATAAGGGTGTGACTATTATGCGAGGAAAACAATAATACCACTTTTGGCTTGTAAACTGCTTGGAGGAAGAAGAGAAGCGTGGAGCTTCAGAAATCTCTATTTTGTAGTTTTTAAACTGTCATAAGGCCTTTGGATAAGGGAGGGAAGGATAATCAGCCCTGAATAGGGTGTGACTATTATGCGAGGAAAACAATAATACCACTTTTGGCACCCCCAAAATCGGAGTGCAGCTATGTTGCAGGGCTGAATGAGGCCTAGGTTTCCCAAGCAATGGCCCCCTCACCTGGATGAGACAAAGCATGGTTTTCATGGCACAGTAGGCCCTCGGAACTAGGTCTTCCAAGCCCCAGTTTGGTTCCCATGGGGCTGAATGCTTTCCCATGGCATGTGCGAGATTTAGGAATTAATGAGCTCACTTTGTGAGGCTTAAAAAGTCCCGAATTGGACCGAAAATCAATCCCATCTCTGTCAAAACTTAAGGAGGAACACGACTTGAATAGAAGAGAGGAGTGCGGAAAAGGCCCGAAGCTTGAGACGTTATAAGGTGCGAGATACATCAAACTTTAGAGCTGTCGGTTCCCCAAAATGGTAAAATTCCCCCGTAAAGATGAAAGATAGCACATCAGATTGAAAGTGAGAGACAAGAAGGCTGGCCAAGTGGTTCATCCGCATCTCTTCATCCCATTGCAAGGCCAAGGAGGGGGGAAAGGCTTAGTTTCTTCCAAGATGTGAATTAAAAAGCACATATATATATGGAAAGGGATGTTGTTAAAATTCTTTTGCCTGGAACCCATACATACAGAGGAAGGTGCCAATATTTTTTACGGCACTTCTTGGCCGATGCAATGAGACTTCTCTTTTATCAGGTGAGAGTTTTGGATGTGAATCCCTGCTTTGCTGGGAAGGGGAAGCCTGGAGCAAAGCACACTCTCTCAACCTCTGAGGAAGGCAATGGCATGCCAAGAAAAACTTCTTCTCTTCTTCCTCCTCCCTTTACTTCTCCTCTTTCTTCTTTTCTTCTCCTTCTTTCCTCCTCCTCTGCCTCCTTATCCTTCTTCTTTGCTTTCTTCTCTTTGTCCTCCTCCTTTTCACCCACCTTCTTTTCTTCTTCCTTTTTCTAATCCTCCTCCTCCTTCTCTTCATCTACCTCCCTCTTCTCATCTTTCTTCTTCTATTCCCTCTTCTCTTTTTTCTCCTCCTCCTTCTCCTTTTTTATCTTCTCCTTCTCTTCCTTCTCCTCTTCCTCCTCCTTACTCTTCTTCTTTTTTTTCTCCTCCCTTCTTTCTTCTTTTCTCTTTCTTTCTCCTCCTCTTCTCCCTCTTTTTCTTCTCTCCTTCTTATCCTTCTTCCCTTCTTCTCTCTCCTTCTCCTCTTCCTTCTCTTCTCCTTTCCTTCTTCTCTTCTTCCTCTCTCCTTCTTTTCCTTCTCTTCTTCTACTCCTCCTCCTCTCTTCTCTTCCTCTCTCCTCCTTCTCTTCCTTCTCCTCCTCTCCTCTTCTTCTCTCCCTTCTCCCCCTCCTTCTCCTCTTTTCTCCTCCTTTTTCTTTCTTTCCTTTTCTCCTCCTCCTTCTTCTTCCCTTCCCTCCTCTTCTCCTACTTTCCCTCCTTTCTTCTCCTCCTCGTTCTCCTTCTCATCCTTCTCCTTCTTCTCTTTCTCCTCCTTCATCTCTTCCTCCTTCACCTCCTTATCTTCTTCTTTTTCTCCTCCATCTTCTCTCTCTTCTTCTCCTTCTTCTATTCTTCTTCCTCCTCTCCTCCTCCTCTTTTTCTCCTCTTTCTTCTTCTATTCTTCCTTCTCCACCTCCTCCTTCTAAGAGGTTGGTTTCTCCTCAGTTTGCTAGTAACCTTAAAATCCCAGGTTGAGAAAGGAGGCCGGTTGGGAAAGTGGTGTAACCAAGGTGAATAGTTTAGAGGGGGAAATCTATATTTCCAATACAAGGCCCTTGGCCTGAGATTCCTCCTTTGCCAACGAAATGGGCCACCCTTCATCGGATTCAGGCTCCATGTGTCAGCGACCCTAAAGGCCTACACATTTCCGTCCGGAGGGATGATGCCGAGCCATTGAGCACCCCACGCAGAGGCTGAAATATGGCCAGACCCCAAAGACATCCACACAATAGAGACAGCCTGTCCTTTCTTTGGCCGCAATGAGTCACCGGAGATGCCAGGAATCGGTGGCGATTTAATCCTCTCCGCCTGCCCATTTTGAGGCATGAATCACCCTGAACCGGGGGGGGGGGGGGGGGGGGGGGGGAAGGCTAAGGAAACAAGGCCAGGAGGAAAGGTTGGCTTTTCTTCAAGAGACCTTGGACTGCAAGCTGAACATTGAGCCAACAAGGTGGTGCAGCAGCTCAAAAAGCCAATGCCATTCTAAGCTGCACACAAAAGAGTAACCTCCTGACTGTAAGGAGATGCCTCCAACAGTGGAGCGCTCTGCCTCAAGGTCCAGAGGAGGGTCTGAAGCAGAGGTGGGATGATGGCCATCTGTCAGGAGGGATCGGGTTGTGGTTTTCCTTTATGGCAGAAGGGGGTTGGGCTGGATGGCCTTTGGGGGTCTCTTCCAAGTCTAGGATTCTACCTGTCTCATTGTTGTATTTGATATCTAATAGTTGCTGGTTGTGAGTTGCCCTGAGTCTCCCCCACAACCCCAGGGGTGAGAAAGATGGATAGAAATGAGTTGTGGTTTTTTTCGGGCTATATGGCCATGTTCTAGAGGCATTCTCTCCTGACGTTTCGCCATGGATAAAAATGTTTGAAATCTATATAAATAAAAATGTAATGTTCGTTTGTGGGGTTGACAGAACTCAAAAACCACTGGACGAATTGACACCAAATTTGGACAGCCTACACCTAACAACCCAATGTATGTCCT